CATGATGGGGCCTACTATCTCATGATTTGTCCAAATATGGAAATGAGCAATGAGTTTATGTACCCAGTGGGCTGTGCAGACTGTTTAGACACTGGACATATCCAGAAACATCTAGTGAGAGTGGAAGCAAGACTCCTTCCACTGGTTTGCTTTTTGTTTGTTTGGGGTTTTTTATTTAAATAAAGGCTAAACCTGGGTTTGTCATTTTGTTTAGGCCTGCTGTCGATGCAGAACTCAGGCAAATTATGAATACGTCAGAACTCAACTTGGTGTTTTTGTAAGGCTTTCGCTCTTGATCCTATGAGGATTGCAGGCTAAGGGTGAGAGCTAGGCTGTTTTCCCTCTGGTATGTGAGATGTTTCTGTTGTGCGCACACCTGCGTCGTTTGTCCTCTGATGCTGCCTACAGCTACTGTTGGCTCCCATTTCCTCCTACTTGTAATGCCATCAGCAAATAAAAGATTTGTTTTAGTCAGATGGGCCACATGGAAAATGTATCAAATTACCTGTAGTGAGCCTTAGTGTAATTGTAACTTTTATTGTAATGAAATTTGGGAGAGTAAATGGAAAGTAACCGAACACTGTACATTTGAGCCAAGCAAAGCAACAGCCCCCTGTTGCCTCAGATAAACTCACTAAATATAGAAACTTTTACTTCAGGATTCCCAGGCTGGAGCACTTTATATTGGCCACTGAAAAGCAGAGAAATTAAAAGAGATGGTAAAACATCTAACATGCTAACTATACTATAAAAAAGAAATTACATAAAATAATATATTAAATAATAATAATAATAATAAAAAAAACATATACATATGTACACAATAAGTACAAAAGTTGTGGGTTGTTTCTCTCACTCACATATTTTTGTGGAAACCAAGATATGTTTTTTTATTTCAGGATTATTTAATGAATAGAAAGTTTAAAAGAACATTTATTTTTAAATAGAAATCATTACAAATGTTTTTACGGTCACATTTGATCAGTTTAATTTGTTCTTGCTAAATTAAAATATTAATTTCTTTCTAACTGACCCCAAACTTTTGTGTGTGTGTGTGTATTCCCATGCTTTTGGCCAACACAAATGTGTAAGCGGTGATAAGGCAAACTTTTTGCAATCCACAGTAGCATAGAAATTCAACACTGTGTTGCCAGGCATCAACTTGGGATGTTAAGTGCATTTTGAGCTCTTGTGAAAGTAAGACATTATTATGTCTACTTTTTCAATAGAGCACAGCTTGTGTTTTGGGGGGGAAGAGTCTCTTAAAAGCCTCATGCACTTTGTATGACTCTTTCTTCAGTTTGCCCCTTCTCTGGAAAGTTGAGCTCTCTGCAGGCCACTGTTCCAAATCTTCATCAGCTGCTGTGACCCGAGCCTGACCTTTGCTGACTTGGGTCACAGCAATACAAAAAAAACTCTCTTCCTGCATTATCTAGGACATGGGAGTATTAGTAATTAGGTTCTGCGGAAACAGGTTGATATTTGGAGAACACCTCAGCAAAGTTGCATGAAAGTGAAATTGGCTCACACTTCTCAAGGTCCTGGCTGACCTAAGGTTGGGCATATCGGGTAACTGACATGCTCGTGCTGGCAGACGTTATGTGTAATGACTCAGCCTGATAAAACACACAGTGGCCACTGGCCAGTGTTGAATGTGCACAGGTGATATGATATGATATGATAGCAAACAGCTGAGGAAAACACTGCAGATCATCTTCAGTATGATGCTAAGTAATGTAAACCAATGCCATGTGGAGCTTCCTTGAACGTTGCTGAGTGCCTTACGGTTTTTCGCTAAATTTCAGAATGCATCAGAATACGACTGCATATTTGAAAAACTGGCATTGCAATATTTGATTAGATGTTCATGACTTTCTTTCTTCAGTCAAAAAGAAATTAAGTTTTTGAGGAAAACATTCCAGGATTTTTCTCCGTATAGTGGACTTCAACAGAGACCAATAGGTCGAAGGTCCAAATTGCAGTTTCAATGCAGCTTCCCGATCCCATCTGAGGAATAAGGGTCTTATCTAGTGAAACGATCATTTAGAAAAAAAATAAAATAAAAATGTATATACTTTAACCACAAATGCTCGTCTTGCACTACAGTTTATATTTACATTTTATTAATTTAGCAGACACTTTTATCCAAAGCAACTTACAAAAAAAATAAAAATGTATATACTTTTTAACCACAAATGCTCATCTTACTCTAGCTCTGCGATGCGCGTCCATGACTTCATGCATCGTTGGAAAAGTCACGCGTGACTTAGGCAGAAGTACCAACCCAGTGTTTACAAAGTGAACTTGCAGAGACTAAATCAAACGCCCTTTACAAAAAAAAGGTAAAACAACAATGTCGGACGATTTTGAAGTTGGAGGAGAAAGTCAGATGGAGTTCAGTACTACTTCTTGCCTACATCACGCGTGACCTTTCCATGTGACTACGTAAAGCGTGAAGTCATAGATGCGCATCGCAGAGCTAGTGAAAGATGAGCATTTGTGGTTAAAAAGTATATGAAATTTATTATTATTATTTTTTTTAGAAAATGACAGATACCTTATTCCTTGGCTGGGGTCGTGTACAGCCCTTTGAAGCTGCATTGAAACTGCAATTTGAACCTTCAGTCCACTATATGAAGAAAAATCCTGGAATGTTTTCCTCAAAAACCTTAATTTCTTTTCGACTGAAGAAAGACATGAACATCTTGGATGACATGGGCGTGAGAAAATTATCATGAAATTTTTTTATTCTGGAAGTGAACTAATCCTGGTTTTAATTACAAAAATATAGTAAATTTCTGTGAATGCTATTAAACTGCACAAAGAAAAACAAAGATGAACTTGCATTGCAAAGTGTTTTATCATCATCTACTAGCAGGGGCTTATTGAACCAGCCAAACTTTGACCCCTGATTCACAAAAGTGATGTTTTAAAGTGAACTTTTGTCGCAACACATTCCGACATAGGCATCCATAGCTCTTGAAAATTGCTTGCAGAAATCTCTGCCCACATTTTGGTAGATAATCAGTACTTTTCAAGTCAAATGTCCCTCCCACTTTCCAGATTGTTCTTACACCCCTGATTTGCTCAGCACTACCGGAGCGTTTGAAAATAATAGAAAGGGAGAGAGCACTATAAAAAGAAAGAGAAAAAAGAGGAGGGTTAGAAAGAGAAATGAGAAAGGGATGGAGAGAGGTGATTCAAGGGGAAGGAGTGATGCAGAAAGGAGGGATGAGCAGTGAAGACCAGCACTATGATTTATACCCTGTAATTTTCTCCCTCACTACCTCCCCCTCGGCTTCCAACACAGCATCACATTTATTTGTGTTTGCCGTCTTTCTCTTGCCCTCTCGCATTCCTCTGGAATATCCCTTCTTCTTCTCTTCAGACGGGCCAGCTGAACAGATTCAAAGTGGCATTTAAGAGTAACAACACGCATAAAACCAACATTTGTATTTGCAGCCCAATGTGATGCCTCTCTTAGCGAAACAGGAACTTGATTTTATCCATCATGAAACGATTGAATTGATTGGTGATATCAAATGAAAAAGGAAAGACATTTCAGAGATATAATGAATTGATACTTTTTTTTATGGAAGACTTTGAGTAGTATGTAGACTCTTAAAAATAAAGGTGCTTCACGATGCCATAGAAGAACCTTTCTTGTCTAAATGGTTCCATAAAGAACCTTTAACATCTTTTACCTAATAACTTTCTGTTTCACAAAAGGTTCTTTGTGGCGAAACAAGGTTCTTCAGATTATAAACATTAATAACAGATTATTAAAAGAACCTTTGACTGAATGGTTCTTTGTGGAACCAAAAATGGTTCTTCTATAGCATCGCTGTGAAGAACCTTTTAAGCACCTTTATTTTTAAGAGTGTACTAAAAATAGAACTAATAACTACGTTTTAAAATATTGCAACATTGCTTTATTTTTTTTATTATTTTTTTTTTGTGCAAAAACGTGACTTTTGCATTACTTTTTCCACTAGTCTTGGCTTTAGACATTTATAAATCTTTATTTTTAATATTTAGTATTTAATATTATATTTAATATAGTACAATTATTATTATTTTTTATAATAATTGTATTCTACAAAAATACCATGCAGCACAACTCAATGATTTCAACACTGATGATATTAAGAAATGTTTCTTGACCACCAAATAAAAAAAAATATTTAAAAAAATGAAGCATCATGTGACACTGAAGACTGGGGTAATGTCTGCTAAAAAGTTCAGCTTTGTATCACAGGAATAAATTACATTTTAAAACGTATTCAAATAGAAACTGGTTATTTTAAATTATAGTTATACTTTTAAATATTTATTGAAAAAGTCATTAGGATATTATGGTGTAAGGAGTAATATGAGCGTGTTACTTCTGAGACGTTATCGCCAGCACTGGTTAAAGTAAATGGGGTTTGCATGTTGACTTAGGGGACACTTAGTGAGCGAGCAGCTGATGTGTTTTGGATACTTTCTCTGGGAGGTTTCCTCTCTCATCATAATGCCCACCCATGACTCTCCTTCCTGAAAGCAGTTTGATGAGCTCCAAAAAGTGTCTAATCGATCGCTTTGGGTTTTTATCTCTTGTTTGCGTGCCAATAAGGCTCCATTTGCAAGCTTGCACTGATACTCATAAGAAACCCTGAGTGTAAACAAGCATGAAAAGAATGACGAATGCATCCAGGGTTGGATGAATGCTTTTGGCTCTCTTATATAATTAGGCCATGAAATTAGTTCAGCGGCTGAATCTATTAACTTTAGCGTTGAAATAGAGCCCCTGAAGTAATAATTACTCCAATTCATCAGACGGCGTGTTCTGTCATGGGCATTACTGAACTGAGAGATTCACAGGTTTTCTGTGTGTTAGGATTTTCCTTTTCAGAGCTCATTATATAGAGTTACTCAAAAGAGATTTTAGTCAAACTGTTGGCTTGCTTTCTTACCAGACAGTAAATGTTCTATCTTTTGTCTTCTTTTGTTTCTTTCAGGTGTAATGAGAGGGCAGTTTGTGAGCAGATGATGGACGTTGAGGCGTCATATTCAGAGTTCATAAACTGTGATCGTACAGGTCGCAGGAACGCAGTGCCAGACATTAAAGGAGAGGGAGTAGCAGTGGAGACCGGTGAACTAACCAAAGACATGGCTCAGATGGACCTGAAAGCTGCAGGTACGTCACACAGCTTCACTTCTTCTTGCAAGGCAGCAGCTGTATTGATATTCCTCCAACATTCTCTTCTCCTCCTCATTCAGAGTTCTGCTCCTCTTCTACCCCTCCTTCTTCTTTTTGTTGTCCTTCTCTTCCTGTCTTCTTTATCTTCTTCTTCTGCTTCTTATCTGTCGTCTCCTCCTTTTTCTTCTTCTCCTTTTGTCTCCTCCTCCTCCTCCTCTTCTTCTCATCCTTCTGCTCTGTCTCCTCATTCTTATTCTACCCCCTCCGTTATATTATTATTTTCTCCTCATCTCTTCTTCTCCTCCTCCTCCTCCTCCTCTCCCTAAACCTCCTTCCTTTACTACTTACTACTACTTCTTTTTCTTCTCCTCCTTTCTCTAAACCTTCTTCTTCTACTACTTCTCCTCCTCCTCTCCCTAAACCCCCTTCCCTTTCTTCTTCTCTTCCTCTTCCTAATCCTCCTTCTCTTACTACTTCTCCTCCTCTTACTAAACCTCATTCTCTTACTTCTTCTCCTCCTCCTCTTCCTAATCCTCCTTCTCTTACTACTTCTCCTCCTCTTACTAAACCTCATTCTCTTACTTCTTCTCCTCCTCCTCTTCCTAATCCTCCTTCTCTTACTACTTCTCCTCCTCTTACTAAACCTCATTCTCTTACTTCTTCTCCTCTTCCTCGTT